TCTCGCGATCGCGGTGGTTACCAACAACGAGCAGCCGCTGACTCCAGTCTTCGATCTCCTCGCTTACGATCTTTAGCGGATCCCGGCGATCATGGTCTGGACTACCCACGAGCATCCACCAACTCCGGTCCACGCTCTCCTCGTTCACAATCTTTGGCAGATCATCGTGATCGTGGTCAGGACTACCAACAAGCACCCCTAAATTCCCGTGCCCGCTCCCCTCACCCTCGATCTACAACAGATCCTTATGATCGTGAGCAAACTCACCAACGGTGGGATCCCGCAATTCTACCTCAGACGAAGAAGCCTTTTCAGCCAGATCCGGTGAACCATGATCGTCGTGGCTACAATCGAAACTTTTACACTGGCGGGGAAGATGATGAATATCGACACACCCGTGATTTCACCCCTGGGCACAATCAGAGTCGCTACCACGAAATTGATTCTGATTATCGTGGTGACGCCCGTGAGGCACCCAATCCACCTTCACTCGACCGCCAGCATACCAGTCACAATGAGGATGGCCATCGTCATCCTGATCGATACAATGCAGGCCCCGCACGCAGTCACTATGCCATAGAAGACCCTCACAATCTCGCAAAGCGGTCTTACAACGAAGAGGATGTGGGACATCCTGTCATGGGTGCTACTTACCCTGAGCCACCTCCAAAGAAGCGTAAGATATCGCAGTTGGATGACGGCGCTATCCGCAAGGTTGCTCCCTTGCCAGCACGGCGAATCCCATCTGGTGGTCGCCCGACCTCTCCAAACAACGGCAGGCCAGGTTCTTCGAAGGATTTGTCGAGAGGTTATCCTCCGAACGGAAGGCGCTAGTTTGACTTCGTCGTTTCATTCTCTATCTGAATATTTCATTCCCTATTAGTCTACTTGGTTATCTCATTTGCTACCCTATGTTTTCAAGTATGATTTATGATTGCTATGTTTTACCGAGTTCTATGCACTCTATGTAGTATGTTATCCTTACAAAGGTTGATTTCCGTGACTGACAACCACCTTAGCAATTTTCTATCTGTTTGTGAAAGTTACAAGTACCTGTAGTATGTTAGTATCTTTGCGCACAACACCAACCAACATTGCAAATGCAGGTGGAGGTTTGCAGTTCCTTCTATCAACCTGCTCAATGATAGCTGCTGTCAAAGCAATGTGAAATTTGGGACCTTCAATTCAAATCATATATAAACCTTCCTCCTAAATCAATTGAACCTTCTCCTTATCATTGATTCAATATATATGAAAGTGCTAACTACTTTCAAAGCATGTACATGAAATATACCAGTTCATTTATTCAAGTCCTCTTCCCATGCTGATAAGATGGACATTCAAACAAAAATCCATGAATTAAGTTATTAACTTGCGTACTTTGATCCTTGGGAGTCCCAGTGTACCAAAAAAAAAATCAGATGGGAATCCCTTAGTTAAAGGAATCCCATGGAACAACTCCTAAGGGACTCCCACATCACTTGGATTCCCAAGACAGGAGAGGCCAATTATGGAAGTCCAGAAGAATATCAGGGGAATCCCAAGGGAATACCTGGCTACCCCCAGGGGAATCCAATAAACAGGTGGGATATACCATGGTATTGGTCCCTCATAGGGTAGTCTTATAGGCATAGACTAACTACCCTAAGAGGGTACCTTTAGGTGGTTGCCTGAAGTGGTATCTCAGTCAACTTTCCACCTTTTTTCATCATTGAAGGCTTGTTTACATTGTATTCTAGTCACATTTGAAGGTCCTAAAGAGATGACATCCATATGTGCTCCGATTTCTATGCTATCTCACATCCTTGGCTATTTTTTGTGAATTTATATTTATATTCAAAACCCTAGAGTTTCTATCATAGTTCTATGCTTGAATTATACATTGCATTGTGTATCTATCAGGTAGACAGCATCTAATTTACCCATATTTATCATCACATCACTTTAAAAATTATGTGCCAGCTTGAGCCAGCTTTGAGTCAGCTAAAAGCCAAGCTGAGCCACTTAAGGAAATTTAGCTGGCTTACATCAGCTGGCTCTCAGCTAGCCAAGCTATGGCAACACTAAGCCCTGCACTGTAGCTTTCCAAATCTGTTTGAATTATGTCCTAGAGTGCTCCTGTTGTGGAGATATGTTGATAATGATCTTTCTGACCACTGGCTTTTTTCAACCTTTGCACTTTTCTCCATGAAAACAATATGATGTCAACACATTTAGAAAGCTAAAAAGAGAGGCTACAATGATTGTGTCATGGGAAATTTAACCCAAAAAGGAAAGTGCATCTCTTGAAAAAAAAAAAGGAAATTGACAATGACAGACTACAAAAGATTACAGATAGACTACAAAAATCAGTTATTGACTACAATATCTACTAACAGACAACCAAAGACTGCCACAAAAAGTTGGATATTGACTACAACATTTACCAATAAACTACAAAAGACTACAAAGATTGGATATAGATCACATAGAAAAGTTTACTACAAGTCTCAGCTTGACATTATACTGAAGATGGACTTGAACCAGACAGAGATGGTAGAGAAGACACTGGGTTGGTCATCTTCTGATATGCTACTTGCATGTCTGACATAGACTTGGATCTTATTGCTGGATATGGACTTGTATAGATTGCTTAACATCCATGGAATTGAACTTGAAGCAGATGAAGATGTAGAGAAGATGCTGATGTGGTCATGAACACCTCACTATTAATTTTACAACTTTGTCACTGTCAGGCTCTGGCATAGAACTTGCATATCTGACATTGAGATGGTTGTTGTTGGTGGATATGGACTTGTCCAGATTGCTTTACATACATTGCTCTGCTGATATGTTGATTGGGCACTTTATCATTCATATCTTGGCTGGATGTATAGGTGGAAGAGCTGAAGATGGATGTGGTGATTGAAGTCATCACTGGATGGAATAACAAGTTCAAGCTTGGGTCTGAAGCATGTCTGGGATGCCTTGATAGATTGGGTAGTGATTGCTCATCTTGGTCTTTGACTATATGAACTTGGTCAGAAAGGTGGAGGACCACCAGAACCATGGACATGTCACTATACTTAAAGTTGCATGATGGTCAGACTTCATGTCACCCTAAGTTGTTGTAAGATCTGCCTTGTCTTGGAGCTGATGTATAGATAGGTGCAAATATACTTCACAACTTGAAATACTGGCTTGGCACTTCAGTCACCCCCTGTCAACTGACTATTAGTCTTGCAAACTCCATAAATACTACAGGACTAAATGTCAGGATGTATATCTATATTGTATATATTCTGGGGCTTAAATATCTCCACTCTTACCTAAATATATTTCTAGTGTGTCACACACCCCAAAATACATTTCCTCACTGGAATGGACTCCAAATATCTTTCTTATGCCTGGACCCTGAATTGTGACTGTCACAATGTAGAAATATATTTCTTGTCTGGGATGGACTTGGGATATATTTTGCAGCTAGGGTTGACTAAGGATATGTTTCTTCAGCCACAAGGGGTGCCTGGGGTCCTATATTTAAGAAAAAAACTTGGGATTTTTTTAAATATACAGGATAGGGGATTTACCTATTATTTTGTAGGCAGAAAACCCTCATTGGGATGTTTGTTGACAGATATTTACCAATAGCTTTGACCCATGTGTAGTATATGCTTTGATCTGCACACTATTTCCTAATTGGGCCATTTCCTAATTAAGAAAAGCATGTCAATTTTTTCTGCCACACTTAATGTCAGGCACAGTGCACATTGAGGTTGAGAATTGTTTCCCATGCTCTTTGGGCCAGAAGAGTTAGTGGCTATCTTAGTGTTGTCATTGTTCATGATGATGTTCGCATATTTCCAATGGCTAGCATGGTGTTTTCATTGTTAATGACGATGTGCACACTTGGTTGAAGCCTGTCAGACCTTGATTTTCTCTTGGTAACATAGTCAGCCAGGGCGTCATCACATCCCACAGTGTCCACCTTTGTAATAGGTGTCCTGTGAGGTACAGTAGGAGTGGGTGGTCGAATCGATGACATAGGGTCTGGTGAATGAGGATGTTGATTCTATTACTATGGTGTGAGGACTGATCGTGCTTCAAGTGAGTTAGTCTTCAATTCACGAACTCTCATGGAGGTTGCTAATGCTTCAGATGTCTGTTGCGGGACCTCTGCTCTTCCTTAGGAAATCCTCAAGGAAGTAGAGTTTGAGGATTGGGACCAATGGAAGTTCGAATACCTCTAGGAGAATATTCAATGACCTTACAAACTCGAATCACTTACTTTGACTCTAAAGGAGGATGCGATACAATGTGGCTGCTCCATGAGCGAACATAGTGGTGGTACGATGAATAGAAAAGATGTCACTACTACACATGTGCTATTGTGACTAATGCAAGTCGAATCATGACAGTCATTAAGTAAGCAAAAATAAAACAATCCAAAGAAAAAAGCAAGGTATAACATCATAAGACAGGCAGTACAGTCATATACTTGCAAACACTGACTGTAATCCTAGTCACATAGGTTGTGCACAATGCTTGCACAACACACTACACAGGTTTCTGGTCCCCTTCCTTCCACATTTGGGGTGCCTCAGGTAGTGTTTAAAGGTTCAGTTCAGTCCGGTTTTTTGCCCCGAAAACGCGCAACCGTGGACCGCAACCGGTCCAGGACCGACCCAGATATTGAGGGAACCGAACCGAACCACCTAGGACCGGTCTTTTGCGGTCCATGATACCGGTTCAGACTGATCCAGACCGGGACCATGGTCCGGTTCAGTTCGGTCCACCGGTTTTTTGCGGTCCTATGGACTGAACCTTTAAACACTAGCCTCAGGCCACTATGGCATGGCTTTCACAGGGTAGGCCCTGGCACCTTCCCAAAATAGGTTACTTCCCCCTTTGGGTACATCAGTGGCATTGGTAACAGATGGCGGCATGGCAGGCACACCTCTTGGATTGGCAGGATCAGATGGCAGGCTTTTGGCAGCTATTTATTTGACATACATTTTTTTTTGTTAGGGTTAGTGTGTTTGAAGGTATTTTTTGACTAATTGAGCAAGCACTGAATTATATATCAATCAATGAGAGAAGACTTTGAAAAAAGCGAAGGACTTTGAAGGAAAAGTCTCAAGGAGGACTGGTGCCAGTATATTCTTAATATTTCTATTCTTATATCAGTCATATGGGTGAGTGGATTGTTTGGCATTGTCAATCTTATGTGTAGGAGGATGCTCTGTGTTCAATTCTTGACTGTTCAGTTTTTTTAAAAATGATATTTCTTTATGTGCCTCAACCATTCAAAACCAAGGGCTCTCTCAGAAATCCAGACTAGCTCCAAATTTTATGAACACAGGCTATATATATTTCATGGTGCAAATACAATAGCAGTACTCATCCCTCCTGTACCCAATAATTTGGCTTCCTAACTTCATGGCCACTACAAGACTTATGATGGCTCCTTACTGCCCTCTGGCTCCTTACCACCCTCTGGCTCCTTTCGCTTCTTTCCTGACCCCTTAGACCCCTTCTCACTGTCCCCCTTTCTGTTAGCTCCTTTATCCAATGCACCTAGTGCTTCTTCTACCTTGTGTTTTTTGCAGGCTCTAGTAAGAGCCACTTTCTCATAGTGGGTAAGCTCAGTCAAAGGTGCATGATTTTCCTTATCGCTTGGGCCATCACCCGGGGGAGGTGCAGGGGTCATATTGTTGGAAGGTGTTGCATCAGTGCTACTGGAAGGAGCAGTGTTAGCACCAGCAGATATAGGTGTGTGAGTGGTTGTGCCGGGAGCAGATTCTGTATCACCATTGCAAGCATCACCACCACCAGAGAGAAGAGTGGCATTGATGCCATGGTCGAATCTGATGATGTTCTTGGGTTGCACTGTCTGAGGATGCCAAATTGGTGTTGATATGGATGAAACCATTTCACCCATATAAAATTCGAGAGGTCTTTATCATGCCCCACTGATTCCTGCCGGATTCCGGTCATTCCTGTGGAATCCGGCGGAATCCAGAGGAATCAAATTTGGCAGAGACACCAGCCAAAATGACATTCCGGGGGACAAATATTCCTCGGGAATGATGTCATTCCTGATTAGTAGCCAGAATGGTCCCCGGAATGGACAAAAAGGAATGACACCGGAATGCAATGACTGGAATTTACATTACTAATCAATAATATTAATAAACATTAATATGCCGATGCCCAAATCGAGCCTCGGCGTTTGCCGACATTTGATTTGGCATCATCCACACTCACCCTCTTCTTCCTCACCCACCATCATCATCAACGACACCCATCCCCATGTCATCACGCCACCACTCCAACGGACGACGACGACGACGGACAATGACAACATGCCAACAGACGACACGACACGTCAGCGGACGACGACGACGATGACGACGGACGACAACACGTCAGCGACGACGACAACGGCCACGCGTCGACGGACGACAACGGACGACGACGGCGACACGTCAACGGATGACACGACACGTCAGCGGACGACAACGACGACGGCCACGCGTCAACGGACGACAACGACGACACATCGACGGACGACAACGACGACGGACGACGACGGCGACACGTCAACGGACGACACGACACGTCAGCGGACGACGACGACCGACGACAACAACACGTCAGCGACGACGACGACGGCCACGCGTCAACAGACGAGGACGGATGACGAGGACGAGGACACGTCAACAGACAACGACGACAGACAACGACGACGACACGTCAACGGACGACGAGGACGGCCACACGTCGACGGACGCCGAGGACGACGACCACATCAACCGACGATGTCGAAGAGCCCCCTCCCTTTTCCCTCCCCCCTCCCTTTTCACTCCCCCTTCCTATTCCCTCTCCCTTCCTTTTCTCTCCCCCTTCCTTTGTCCTCCCCCTTCCCTGTCCCTCCCCTCCCTCTTCCCCCTTCTTTATTCATCCCCCTTCTTTATTCATCCCCCTTCCCTGTCCCTCCCCTCCCTCTTCCCCCTTCTTTATCCATCCCCCTTCCCTGTCCCTTCCCTCCTTCTTCCCCTTCTTTATTCATCCCCCTTCCCTGTCCCTCCCCTCCCTCTTCCCCCTTCTTTATCCATCCCCCTTCCCTGTCCCTCCCCTCCCTCTTCCCCTTCTTTATTCATCCCCCTTCCCTGTCCCTCCCCTCCCTCTTCCCCTTCTTTATTCATCCCCCTTCCCTGTCCCTCCCCTCCCTCTTCCCCCTTCTTTATCCATCCCCCTTCCCTTCTCCCCTCCCTCTTCCCCTTCTTTATTCATCCCCCTTCCCTTTTCCCTCCCCTCCCTCTTCCCCCTTCTCTAGTATAAACTGCATGTAATTAAATATATTTTGTATTATAATTGAAATACATCATTTTTTGTGTAGTTCTATCAAATACACTTTGATTTTCCCTAGTCAAGTCTAAATATTATAAGGAATTCTTAGGATTAAGTTGTGAAATATACATTTTAGGCCTTCCTGTAACATTCCTGTGCCATTCCTGTCCATTCCTGTGCCATTCCTGTCCATTCCTGTGGATTCCTGTGCCATTCCTGTGGATTCCTGTGCCATTCCTGTGGATTCCACTGGAATCCGGTGGAATGCCTTCATTCCTGCAGGAATCAGTAGGGCATGACGAAGTACTGGATGAAGGTCATCTCTAATAAATACACTACATACAATTGCAATGATACAAAGAGTCAATGTGCATACCCAGCTCAGTTGACTAAAAATGCAAATGAGTGGAATCTGAAAATAGGACTAGTGTTTAAAGGTTCAGTCCATAGGACCGCAAAAAACCGGTGGACCGAACTGAACCGGACCATGGTCCGGTCTTTTTTTCAGTTGCAGTTGCCCCAATTTGGGGTTGGTCCAGTTGCCGGTTGCCTCATTTCGAAAATCTTTTAAAACCGTTCAAAGACCGGTTTTAATCGGTTGCAACCGGTTAAACGGTTACGTGCGTTACATAGCCTTGTAACCACGTTTATTGCCTTTTATGGGGTTTTTGTTTCATCAAAAACGGTTAAGAATTGAGAAAGATATAACCAAATCCATATTTTACCCGAGTCTCTAGGAGATGTAATTCAGTTTCAGTCATAGCTATGTCAAATCTTCATTAAATCTCTTGAAAATTGGTAGAATGATGGGTATTTATATGCTTTACTATTTTATATAACCCGTTTATTTTTCAGAGTCATACTAGTCAAGATATAAATGGTTTATATTGGTATAATAAATTATAAATTATACGCAAAAAAACCGGTCTGGATCGGTCTGAACCGGTATCATGGACTGCAAAAGACCGGTCCTAGGTGGTTCGGTTCGGTTCCCTCAATATCTGGGTCGGTCCTGGACCGGTTGCGGTCCACGGTTGCGCGTTTTCGGGGCAAAAAACCAGACTGAACTGAACCTTTAAACACTAAATAGGACTAAGGCTGTGGAACTGACAGCAGTACGTGTCATGACATTATACTTGGATCATATCTAAGGTTACCTACCATGAAATAGGGCAAAAAGAGGCTCTAGAGTAAACACCCAGCACAGGGAGAAGAATTGCATTACTACCAAAGGGTTTAGAAACACATAATGGATTTATCGTGGAAACTCGTGCTTATACAAGAAATACAGAAAAGACAACATAGACATCTAAATGGCATGTCTGAAACATGTAAAGACTAAACTACACCTGTGCAGACTTAGCATGGCTCACGGCCATTCAGAAAGTCATGTATGGCAATTCCTGCATACACATCAAAGACTGATGTGTCTGAACATCACAAATACAAACATGGGAAAAAGACACATTCTATTATATGAAATATAATAAGAACCCCCTGACAATTAAGAAAGACATTTGAAAACACCTTCAGAGGTTAAAGACGAGCCAAGACAAGGCATTTTAATTAAAAACTCGGAAATGACGGAAGACCAAAGGCTATTGGTAATGTGTATGCATGGATGCCACCTGTCAAACCAGTAACCGGGCCATAGAAAAGAAACACGCGAGATCATGCCAAGCTAAGAATAGCTACATCGGCTAACTCCACATATGCATCAAACACTGATGCGTTTGAAAATGAAAGACGCAACACTATAAAATCTGTAGTGTTGTAATTTGGACCAAAGGATCCTGCATTAGAAACACATGTAAAACATAGATAGGGGTTTCTGGAGTATATAAGGAGTGCGCTAGCAGGGCAAAAGGCAAGCAATCACCCCCCCGTTGACCAGCTAGTTGCACTCCAAGTAAGAGACTTAGGAGGTGGACAGTTGTAATCAATTTAAGGAGATTTCTTTGTGGTCAGATAAGTACAGTGTGAACGAAGCCAGCGTGCTTGGGAGTCAACTTGCTTGGAGACTTTTGAATAAGAGGTTTTAAGGACACAGTATCATTTTAGACAAGACAGCGTACTCATACCCCTTTGTTTTGGAGTGTAGTGACATAATAATAAAACTCACAGGACTCATAAAAGTCAATTGAAGTCATGTTTTGTGTTAATAAAAGAAACTGTGATCAAAGAACTTTGCATTTAAGAGACCAAGTTCCCAGAAAGACATACTTTGTTCTATTGAACTATTCTAAACCACACCCTATAATAAACCATTTTGAACAAAATCTCTTGAGACTTAACCTAAGAAGACGAAAGTGGTATTTCTCAATACCAAAGGCCCTCGAACTCGTGCACCGAGATTGTGATAGTGTGTGTGTGTGTGTGTGAATGAGTGTTTAGATGTTTAGGGTTTTCCCAACGTGCTTGATCCTTGTGTGCATGTTTCACACTTTCACGTTCATCCCCGTGCAATGTGTATCAGCATTGATGGCTGCACCATGGATGGTGTAGTTAATCATCATGGAAGCCTCTGAATTGAGTGGTGCTGAAGAAGGCGGGGATGAAGGAGGTGGAGTAGGGGTAAGTGCAGAGGCTGGCACTGAAGGTAAAGGGGATTTGGGAGGTGATGCACTAGACAGATTGACAGTGTGACCCAATGTGAACAGATTGATTGGGGCACGGCCAAAAACACAGGGATTGGATGCAAGGGTTGCAAATGGGTTGTTGAAATCACTCTTCTCCTGTGTTGTGACAGCTAAAGGCTCGCGTCATGGAGGTGTTCTCTGAAACACAAACCCAGGTGCTGATGCTAATAAAATCCCAGCAGTTGATTCCAGTTTCCCCATATTCTCCATATAAAGGAGAGGATCGATGAGGGGATCATGAAGGGGGAGAAGGTGAGGAAGCAGAAGGAGGAGTTCGCCTTTGAGTGAAGAGTGATTGATCCATTCGGGTGAAGGCATGCGAGATAGGCGATGATGGCGCACCTGGAGCCAATGGTAAGCTGTTCACCTCCACTGATGACCCACCTGACATTGGAAATCTCTTCTCACTCCCTTCAATAGAATCAGTTGAGACCATTCCTCCAAAAGCAGCATCCAACCCTCCATCTTTATTGTCGTTCCAGGCACTGCCAGTGTTGAGGGAAATATCATCCCCAGGAGCTTTGAGAGTCTGGCCTGAGCGGGAGGTCTTATCAGTGCCCCCCCTATTCCTGCAGGATTCCGGTCATTCCGGTGGAATTCCAGTGGATTCCTGTGGATTCCGGTGGAATGAAATTTAGCAGTAAGCCCTGCTAAATTTGTCATTCCTGTGTTTTCTCATTCTGGTGGAATCTGATCATTCCGGAATTTACACCAGAATGGTCCCTGGAATGGTCTTCCCCAGAATGGGCAGGAATAGCATTCCCCGGAATGTGCAGGAACTGTAATCTGGTTATTTTATTGTTTTGTTATGTATTATAGTTTATTTATTTTCAATGGATAACAAACAATGCTTGTTTGGCAAACACTGCTCACCAAACATGGTCACTCTCTTCTTCCACCACCACCACTATGCTCGTCACCGCCGCCAACGCCATGCCATCACCATCACCCATAGCCACCACCACCCACATCACTTGTCTATCACCCATGGCCACCACGTCCACCAACATCGACCACGCCGCCCTTCAACAACAATGCGGAGACGCCACGTCACGAAACAACGAGTGCCAGAACCCAAGAAAACACCCCAACCCCCACGAAAACGACACCCCGCCCACGAAACGACACCCAGCACCCACGCACACCACCAGCAGACACGAAACAACGGCCAACGGATGCAAAACCACACCCACGGACACGAAAAACACCCAACAGACAGAAGACAATGACCAACAGACACGTACACCGCCCGTGGACACGAAACAACACGCAGCAGACACGAACAACACCCCTGCGCCCACAAACGACACCCAGCACCCACAAAACCACACCCAGCGCCCACAGAACGTGTGGAATTCCTGCAGATTCCTGTGGATTCCTGTGGATTCCACTGGAAGTCCTGTGGAATGACTGGATTCCTGCAGGAATAGGTGGGGCACTGTAAAGTACTGCTGAGCGGTATTGATCAAGGGCTTGTTTTTGTGGAGAATGAGCAGGAGTGGCCAGAGATGAGCTGTCAAGAACCAGAGGAGCGTCCAGCGGCAGTGTGCTCGACATTGGTAGTAGTGACGAGTCAGGTTCCGAAGAAGGCCCAGAACTTTCACAGAGGTCAGGCCTGATTGATGGCATCATTTTGATGGAAGGTGATTCAGATCTTGGCATGGCAATCAGGGTTTTGGCTACATCACTATCAAGGATAGGTTGGGTTTTGGCTATGTCATTATCGAGGATAGGACATCCCACTAGTGTTTGCAGGTCCAGTTAAGTCCAGTTTTTTACCTCAAAACGACGCAACTGGCAACTGCAACCGGTCTAGACCAATCCAAATATTGAGGGACCGCAACCAGACCACTTTGGACCAGTCCTAATCAGTCCACAACACAAAAAAGACTGGTCCAGACCGGTCTTTTGTTGTAAAATTTATTACACCACAGAAACTAAATATTACGTCACGTACATTGCATACGTAGATAGATATTTTAATTCTCCGTAGACTGATCAAAAATTTAAGCAATTCCGTCAAGATTTGACTGAGGTAGGGTGAAAACAGAAGGACGTACATTTGAATCATGTATAAAAATGTTTTTGGCCATATCTCAACCAATTCTTGACCGCTTTTGATGATTCAGGGACCGAAATTTAAGTAAAATGTGCACAAGTAAGGTCCAGCATGTTATGGGACGAAAGACTGGTTGCAACCGGTCTAAACCGGTCTTTTTCGGTTTTTATATATTTACAAAAACATGGCAACTGGCAACTGGACTGACCACAAATGTGGGCAACTGCAACTGGAAAAAGACCGGACCGTGGTTCAGTCCAGTTCAAAGACTGGTTGCAACCGGTCTAAACCGGTCTTTTTCGGTTTTTATATATTTACAAAAACATGGCAACTGGCAACTGGACTGACCACAAATGTGGGCAACTGCAACTGGAAAAAGACCGGACCGTGGTTCAGTCCAGTTCAGTCCTATGTTTATTTTCAGTCCTGTAGACTGGACCTGTGAACACTACGTCCCACTCCTGTGAAGCTGAAAGCTCTTTCCTGACAGACTTCTGGTGCTGAAACAGTTTTGAGTCAAACATACACAAAGAAATTCCTTTTTTAAATCCTGTGTAAGCTTCATGGAAGTCTCTACCACCATCGCTCTTTGGCCCAAAGTAGTAGCTATGAAAGGGGTGATTAATAAAATAATGGTGAAGAAAAGAAGAGAATGACAGACTTGTGTTGATATACTGTCCCTCCAGCTTTTGGAAGTGGACCAGCACATCCAATAAAAAACGCCCAGCCAGTCGAATCCTCCTGTGGTGGGTAAGAACTGCTGACAGCTCACCAGCTGCTGTTGGAAAGAGAGCATTGCGTTCAGGATATTTCTCAAACCAGCCTTCAGCGATGTGTGGGTGAAAGCGTGCAACTGTTGATTTCTTCTGCACTTCAGTGAATGCTGGAATATGGGATTCGAGCCATTTCTTTTGCTCATCGGTTATAGAAGATTTTCCCATGATGGACAGCAAAGAATTCAATGATGAGGTGAAGTGACAGAGGTCGAACTGACAGGTATAATTCAAGGCAGGTGATTTCTCTCCTTCCACCATGCTGATTGTTTTCAGTACATCAGACAAATATCTTTCCGTACCTTCGTTTTGATCTCCAGTAAGCTCTTTCGTATACAATCCCAAATCTCCTCTTATCTTTCCCCATTCTTCACATCTCCATTTCTTCAACTTTTCCAGATACCAATTATCACTCTAGATCTATTGCACAAATATTCTACACCACAAACTTCCACCTCAGTACAAACTTCCACACTGGTGGTTTGACTCTCCAGCAAACACTAAGCTATATGTAGAAACCAATCACATTCTATTTTAGGCACACTGTCTCCTCACTACCTATTGCATGCATCTCAATTTCTTATGTATCTTAAGGGCACTGCACATTGATACGGAGTGTAACAATACACCCGTAAAAATGCGAATTTTAGCAATTTCTCCTATAAAACCTCCTATAGTAGAAATACAGTCACATTGATCATAAGGATCGTTAGACGCAACCCAGTCTAGTCGATTAAAGTCTACATCCGAGAAATGTGCATGCCTTAGGCAGTAGGAATTGCGGTTGGTTCGTGACCGAATCACTTCAATATACTCGAAGTCTAATAAAAGGCTAAGCTACCATGAAATAGTACACTACCGAGTGTTCTAGAGTAAAGACACCCCTGCACAGGGTATTGGAGTTTACACCAAACCAGGGTCTCACCTTATTATGGATTAAAAGATATTAATTCTAAAGATAAACGCGCGAGCGTAGAAACTCGACGCGTACCTGACGCGAGAAGTCATTCGGTCACGTGCTACGAAGCATGATCCAAGGAGTCATGTGGAGGGACGCATCATGCGCATCACGCGCATCACAAATCATGGCATCATTGACCCAAGAAAATTAGACTTCGCGAAATATTCCGAAGTCTGCCAAAAGAGAAAAACTATGAACGATTTGCCGTGCGGTCCGAAAACCTGGGCATAGTATCTAATAATAGAGAGAAAATCACTAAGCGGACCGTTCGCCTCAGCTGAGCCAATCGTGAAAACCGTTTACGGCGATTCCCGTGTACGCATCAATACTGATGCGTCGCGTCGCCGCAATAGAGAAAACACTACAAAAACTTAAAAGAAGTCAGCTCAGTTGTGCCACAACACAACCGAGCCACTTCAAACCTTTACTAAAAATCAGTATTAATTCGTCCAACCTCTCGGGCAACGCACGGACATGTAAATATAAATAGAAAACATAAGAATAGTATAAAAGGAGGACGCGCGCAGGCTGAAACAAGAGGAATTATCCCCCGTGTTGACCAGCTGTCGCACTCCCAGTAGCATCTGAGGTAGTGGATAAGTTTGTAATCAATTTAAGGACTTTTCTTCGCAGACATAAGTAATGTGTGCCCGGAACCAGCATGTTAAGTGGGGATCACAAAGCTTTTATAAGGTTATCTTGTCAATTAGTAAGAGAGCTCTCTGCTATTACCGAGGAATCCAAGTGAGCGTGCTTGAAGAGTCTTTAAGACTAGTTTGGACCAAATCAGAGGCATAATAAAAGCTCAAGGGAGTTATAAAAGTCTACAAAGCACAATTTCCTTGTCATTTCTTCATATACAGTTAGAACGCAATCCCAGAACACCGAGACAGTCCCAATAAAAGCCGTTTCCCTTCAAAGACTACTAGGTTTCGAATTCTATACTTGTGCCCGCACGTAAAAAGAATACCTTTTGTTGCAAAAGGTCTACTAGACTTAGACAAGTGATATAAAATATACAAAATCGTTTCCCCAAACTTCTACTAAAGTTCTAACAAAACAAGTGTGGTAATTCTATTTACCGTACGAACCCGAACTCGAAGCACCGAGCACGTACCTGTGGTGATAAGTGTTTAAGGTGTTTGTGTGTGTGTGTGTTGTTTAGGTGTTCACACATCTTGACAGCGCGTCCGATTGCACTTTCCTCACTCCCGCGTGACACGGTCTTCTCAACATGTGGATAAATCATGTGTGAACTACGAATTTGGATAAATTGTATCCTTGGCATTTCTATCTGAGGTTCAGTTAAATTCTATATGCATGCATCATTGTAGATCATCCTTGGCAATTCTGCCAAACTAATGTCAATGACAAGCAATGTATAGAATTTATTCCTCTTTGTCACCTTTCATTCCCAACCCTTCCATGTCTGACATCCCCCCACAGCAAGTGGCCCAGAACAAGCCTTGCCGCTCCTGCTTGACCGCTTTAGAAGCTGCAGTGTCAATGGCTAGACTGGTTCTACGTGTTGAGAGAGGTTAGTACTCTGGTTTGCCTTTTTGAGAGAGGTTAGTACTCTGGTTTGCCTTTTTGATGCTTATAATCTCATTCATCTATTCAGCTACAAGGTATATGGCACATTTTCTGTTTCATTGTGGACATTCAGATGCTCATCAAAGCTAGATATGATACCCAACCCCCTTACTCAAGAAGGACTCAACACAATTGCAGAGGTCACACAGGGTTCGTTGTTATTTTATCTGACATGCTATCTCTAATTTCTATGCAAAGCCCTTGCTACCTTACCAGACGATTCTCTTTCTGATTATCAGGTTATTGGAGCTAATGGTACAGTTTCCGCCTGGAATGTTCTCATTTTATTTTAACACTTCACTTTCAGAATCCATTGAGAACACAGCTGTTGGCACTTCCACAGCAGGAGAAAGTGCAATCCCTTTGGTTGCTGATCCTGCCACTGAGGACCACCACTCTGGCACCCCAGGCAGAACAGTGCAGCAATTTTCAGAGATGCATCATGCCCTAGCAGCATACCAGGCTGCTGTCCTAGCCGGAAGTGTTGTTGAAGTCACAGTAGCCACCACTCTTCGTGTAATCACTCCCAATGATCCTGTCAATATGGTGGACCACTAGCATATTAACAATTCATCAATTTTATCTTTCAAAGTTTGTCAAATTGAATTTGCACACTCTCAACCTTGATTTTAGCTGTTGCATATAATGATCTATCTACTCTCATTCCCATCCTCAAAGCCCTCACTTTCACCCTCATCCTGGTTGTCCTTGCCCTCCTCCCCCTCATCCTGGCTGTCCTCTCCCTGGCCGTCATCTTCCTCCTTTCTGCATAACCATTGATAATCTGACAAGAGGCCATATAAATTTATGCACACCTCAAGAGCTGCCAAACCCTGTGTGATAATGCGAAGGAATTCTACTTCAATTCTCCACAATTCCCTTATTTGCCAATCAGAATTTGGGAGATGGCCTTCCATGCTTGAGAGGTCCTCCATTAATTCCCAACCAATGTCAGTGTGGTTTAGCATCTCTCCAACCAAATGTTCAACCCTATCTTCCTTGGTAGCTTTTTGATATTCGGAATCGAGTTTGTGGTGCCAGGCCCAACTTCCACCCCAGGGCAAGGCCCAAGCACATACATGATCACAGATTTCACAGAATTGAGAAAATTATGTTATATCAAACTCCTCTGAAAATAGCTCCTGGTTACAGTTGACCGGTGGTAGAACAATGTCCTTGACAGTGCACTCTCATTTGAGTTTTGATTTCTCCCTAAGCTCTGGGTGACTGTGAAAAAAGAAAGTGTGAACCATCATCAATTGTAAGCAGGTTTGAACAACCTTCTGTAGTAACATTGGTCTCTTGTTAGTTTATCACTCCCTCTTCACCCGAAGCAGTCTTGTTTCTTTTGCTTTTAGATTCAGATGTGGTTCGGGTGTGACCCATGAAGAATGAAATGTAATGCAGAGATAATGGGTTGAAAATAGTTGGAAATTGAAGCAAAAGGTGAACAAATAGTGTTGGCATCTGTCTCACACACTTGCCAATTTTGAGGAAGGTATGTAATATATGTATTCATGGTATCTCAATAGGTTTATTGTATCTCAAACTCACACTTCTTACCTCAAATAATGCTTCCTGGTTTGAGGAGATCTTTCTAATACATTTGTGCATCAGAAATGTGAACAAATAGTTTGCAAATAGTGTTGGCATCTGCCTTGCACACTTGCAAATTACGAAAGAAGGTGAGTAATGTAAATCTTTATGGTCTCTCAGTTTACTAGAACAGGGACTTCTTAACTTGATTGGTGAATTCAAGAAGTTTGCCCAAAGTTCAGGTCATGTTCACATCAAGTTCATACGAAGTTCACGATATCCACGGCCAATGTGTTCACACATTCATGCGCACACTTGAAAAGGGTTTTACTGTATCTAGAATGGCATTTCTGAGTCCCTTTAACATTTCCAGGCTCAACAGGGTGTCTCTAACTGTTTCTAATAGGTTTGTGGAATGTTCACATCAGTTTCACATCGAATTCAAGCGAAGTTCACGATATCCGCAGCCCAGATGTTCACGCATTCACACACAAAGTTCACGATCACCAGGGGCAAGATGTTCCAGTACTTTACAGTGCCCCTCCCATTCCTGCAGGAATCCACAGGAATGAAGCAGAGTAAGGTTGAAAAACCATGTAAATTTACCCCCATATTCTGATCAGCTTTTCATCATGTGACTACATCTGTATTTATTCAACTCCAACCTTATCCTAATAACTTAGTACTCAAAATCCCTTATAGAACCCATATCTCAAGCACTTGATTCATAGGTCAAATTATAATGTATTTAATAAGGACATAAAATGTATTTTACCACATACAATCTATATTAAAGCAGGGGGGGAGGGACAAGGAAAGGCAGTGGGGACAAGGAGGGGGGTAGGGACAATGAAGAGGCAAAGGACATGGCAATGGAGAAGGAAAGGGGTGGGGACAAGAGAAGGGGGTAGAGACACAGAGGGAGTGATGGGGAGAGTGTGTTGCATGTCATTGTCCTCGTGTCATCATTGTATTGTCATTGTCGTGTGTCGTTGCTGCATTGTTGTCGTCACATGTTGTACATGGGCGCTGGGTGTTGTTTGCTGTCTGCTGGGTGTTGCATGTCATTGACCTCATGTGTGGGCACTGGGTGTTGTTCCATGGGCGCTGGGGTGTTTTCGTGGCCGGGGTGTGGTTTTCGTGGCTGCTAGGGCGTTTTCATGGGCACTGGGGAGTTTCCAGGGGTAGTGGCAGCTGCAAAGCGAGGAGTGGGGGGTGAGGGGGTTTGCCGCGTCAACAGGGCACCTGAATAGTGAGCAGTGGGGGGTGGAGGGACCTGTTACTCACTTGGGTGGCTCAAAACAACCCGATGGTGATGACATACCAATCGTCACTGTCAGATGACGCAAATACACGTCGTCTGACCTTTGTTGCTGCATTCGGGTGGTCGTCATGGTGGGCGGTCATGAATCGTGGTGGGCGCTGGTCGCCATTGGTTGATGGTGGTGCTCTGGTGGTGCCATGTCATTGTGGTGGTGGGTGTTTGAGGATGGTGGTGGTGCCATGTCGCTGGCAGTGGTCGTTACCATTCGTTGGTGGTGTGTCATGGCCGTTGTTGGGTCATGTTGCATCATTGTGGTTGTCGCCGTTGTCAATGTGGTTGGTGGGAGGGAATGGAGGTGGGGAAGAGGATGGTTGGTGGGTGGAAAGGAAAGAGTGTTGCATTTGTTTGGTAGTGTTGCCTTTGTTTGGTAACAGAAGTAAAATAAACAAACAAATGAATGGATTCCATTGCATTCCGTTCCTGTCAATCCTGTGGAACATTCCAGTGTCAATTCTGGAATGCCCAAATTCCCCTGGAATGGTAAGGCACCAGAATGATGAAAATAGCAGGCCTCCCTGCCAAATTTCATTCCTCTGGAATCCACCGGAATCTGCAGGAATGACCGGATTCCTGCAGGAATTAGGGGGGCACTGATAAGACCTCCTCTAAAGGCATAACTGCTCAGTATTTTCAACTGATTCTTTGATGGGCTCATTCAGGCTAACCAGAGGTATCTTTTGGCCTCCTT